TTGGTCTCTGCTATGATCATCTCATGGCTGGTGCATATCGACGTGGATAGTCATAGTGTCATGGCTCAGTTTGCACTCCCCAAAGGGGAAGTGACAGACATGCCGGCGTGAAGGCTTGAGCCACAACGCCTCCCCAGACATGGATTTAAAACCCCTTCAAATGGCGATATATCTGGGAGCTTTGATTCATCAAGAGTCTACATGGTGTGGACCAAATAGGGGGACCTTCTAGTCCCACTCAAAAGCTATTCGGCCAGGGGGTCTCCGGAAATACACGCCCACATGTAGTAGTGTCACCACCACCTTGACTCTTCCCAACACATTTCTCGCAACCCGTCTCGGCTTCGGGTGTCCCCTTGGCAATGGCCCCCACCCTAGCAGCGATGCCCTCTAACCTAGAGGCAATGGCCTCCACCCTAGCAGCGATGGCCTCCAACCTAGAGGCAACGGCCTCCAACCTAGTAGCGACGGCCTCCTTGAAATTGCAGCCGAGTGAACTTGCAACTTGTTGAGGAAACAGTCGAGTGATCAGCAACAGCTCAGTTTTTTGCACTTTGTATGGTGGGCCCACATTGCGGCCTTTGGTCCTCACCTTTGCACGCAAGTACGGGAGGGCTCCGTCTGCATCTCAGACGCATCTCATGTTGTTTTTGTAGGACATGGCCTTCTTCCGGGAGCGTGCGGCCAACGCTGCCCAGTACTCCTTGAAGATGAAGGTGCGGAATCGGCCGGTGCAACCTCCGATGATTTGGACGAGTTCGGTTTCTAGGGTTCCACAGCCACTGTTCGGCCCCTTGTTGTTGACTCGCTGCTTTGAAGTTCTAGCAAAACAAACAGGATTCCTATGCCAGTTGTTGCTACATTTATTGTTGTAGCCAAGTGGCTGGCTCGGTAGGGGCCCCTGATTTAGATATACTGTATTTACACTACTGGGGTGAGGAACTAAAAACTATATGTGTGATTATAATGGACTATATACCATGAACATGTGTCCCCATTGTTTTGGGATGCAAAAGGATTTCAATTCGTTCATTCACAATGGAGACACTTGACACCTACATTTGCATTCTTTAGTGATGGCTGCAGATCCACAGCCCCCTATGAATAGCACATTTGTTTGTTTTTTCCTGGGTGTCCATGGAAACCACTGTGACTGCCATGGTAGGGTGAATGTTTTGTGGCGCACCTCGGCAAGTTTGCGGATGGCCAGTTTGTGGGCCTGCCTCATGAGGCCCTTGTCCTTGTAAAGGCCTCAGGCTTGACGCATTCTTATTCTTTAATGATTGAACATGTTTCAACCCACAAGATATGTGTTTCTTCTAATATATAATGATGAGCTCAACTGTCGATTTGTGCGGCAGTAACCGCTGCCGAAGAAAGACACTATTCAATTGCCCAGGTGTTGATTCTTCTATCTACGGCGTTCTGGATTTGGTGTTTCGGCTTGGGGCACACCGACTGATTAGTTTTTTTCAGAGGAGAAACCAATGCCAAACCACTCTTCCAGGTTGGAAAAAAAGTAAACTCTTGAGTAATACTGTAACTCCACCAAACATGGATAGTAATTAAACACTCTTCATATGGGGGGCTCTACTAACCAAGAGTCTACATTACTCACTACGGAAGTTTGCCTTGTAAAGACCGTGACTTACTTACAAATGAGTGAGGATCGAAGCAGTCCCGCCTCCATTTCCCTGCGATTCCTTGGTAGGCGTTGCAGACATCTCCCGACAATGCCACAGTGAGAAGCCCTTGGTTTCAGATGGATGAATGAGGAAGTCTCGACAACGTCCAACACAGTCCTCCACAAAGCCCCAAATTCATTCAGTCAGATAGAAGTAAGAACAAACTATATGTGGTTTCGCCGCAGTTTCATTGATTTTTGGAAACACGTGTGTGTGTGTGTATCCCGTCTCCCGGAATACTACTTCGCTACCTCACAAACACAACACTTCTCTCCAAGCTGGGGGGCTGGTTGTTCATGCAAGTACCAGCCACCTGCATTGAATTTGTCAATCCTTCTTTGTAATAATAGTGATTCTACGTACTGCTCAACGCTGTCTCCTACGTTGTTTCGTAGTAAAGGGCTAATGCATTCGTCTACTGCAGTATAGAGGTCTAACGTTCACCATGCAGCTCTGAAGCACTGAAGGTTAGTTTCATGGAGCACTCTTCTCAAGTGTGTGTGTGTGTGTGTGTGTGTTTTTGAGCCAAGTCCACTCTTCCAGATGGGGGTTCACCACTCCATGTCTCCCATGACTCCGTCAACTCACCTTGACTGGCGTGCGCAGATGGGTGGTCAATGGCCTTCGATGGATGCCTTGTCACATCTACAGCAAGAGATCAACCATCTGAAGGAGACCTGACGTTGAGTTTTTTGGTTTTGCGACACGGTGACATGGTTTTTCTCACGTGCTGCATGTCTTGGTTCTGCAAACGTGCAGCGGAGAAGATGGACTTTGGGGAGGGCTGGTGAATGCACGAAAGAGATTGATCAGTGAAGAGTTTTTCCTTACCAGGAACACAGGGTGACCCAACTCTTGTGACTTTCTCCAAAACCCATTTTTGGACAGTTGTACTCACCCAGTTTAAACACAAATATCAAATATTGTTTAGAAACGCCTTGAGATTGAATGTTCTTGAAGTCGATTTTCTGACCGAACAATGCTTGACAGATCTGTCGGGGCGTTTGAGGACACGGATGAAGCGGCCGTGGCAGAAGCCTTGTCAGTGTCCCTTGGACCCATAAGACGTACCGGGTACCGGAGCACGGGTGATCGTTGTGCCAAGAGATGGGTGATGTTGGGGGGCCCTCCCCAGGTTGACCTGTAACAGTCGGACATATTCACTATTTAAGAGAAAGGTTTACAACTGAACCATCAGCTACAAGATCTTACAACAAAAACATAGGGATATACAGTATACAGGATGCACCGATATACCCAATGCTTAGTGAATTGAGACCTATGACTAGGAGTTCCATGTCGGGTGTGTTTTTGAGTGGATGTGACAGGGGCACCCCACAAAGTTTGGACACTCCCTGCAACTCACGGCAGGTGTGGCCCCAAAGACCAAACACATATTTTTCTTTTGCACTTCCATGTTAGTTCTAGGGAGAGTACATGATGCGGAAAACAGCCTCCCACCAAGCACCTGAAAGAACTTCACAGAACGGGAGTTTTGTCCAAATGCATCACTGGCAGTTGAGATGCTTACTTCCAGCTACGGAATGATGTTGCTTGGTTTTGGAGAAGATTTGGGAATCTCCTGCATGTCACGTGTTATAGTTACTTGCGTTGGCAGACATTCATGATCCGCGTGTGGGCAGGAAATCTCCCGCCCTCAGGGACCGACGCCACGTCCCGACCGCGTGAGGCTTCTGAAAGCTGCGGGCTTTGTGGACGATTCCAAGGGCGAGGCGCAGCGGAACGTGTGCGACGCGACGTGGCGTCCCCGACCTCGACGCGATGCGGCGTGGCGTAGGGAAGACCCCGCAGGGAAGACCAGTCTACCATCGAGTCCACTCAGCCAGGGCGGATCCTCGGTCTCCCTATGTGAAGAAAAAGAATACACTCATGAGAAGGTGCCAATGAGGCTCCAGTCGTGAGGCTCGTTGCTTTCGGACTGGGCTCGATCCTGGGGCTGAAAGTCGGAGGTCCAACCGGCCCCCGTCCGGATCGATCACCCGACTCGGGAGGCGGGCGGTTCGTTCGATTTGGCGGTTCGTTCTCGCTTTTGGGGGGTTCTATTAGTCGGTCAGATGCGGCTTGAGGCCTTTTCTGGTCACTTGTGTTTTTGGGGATGATCACATACGTATGATCACCCCTGCCCTGGGATGTGTTGCAAGCTCCGGTCCTTCCCCGCAAGCCCAAAACATCCCAAGACTGGAGGGAGAATCCCCTCGTGACACCTGACAACGCGGTTCCAGCTAGGAGCCATGCAAGTTTTAGCACACATTCCCACCATGGAATCCTCCTGCAGACTTGGATTCGTTTTTGTTTGTTTTGCTTTATTGCATTGTTCTGCTCGCTGTGATGGTCAGGCACCATGTCGGTTGCAAGATGTTGCAAAAACGATGAGGCCTTTGGGCCTACTTTCTGCAATAGACCGAATCCCAAACCGTTTTTGCTTGACTTTCTCCCCAAGAAAACGTCTCGGGACCATCAAACGGCACACCGAACAGGTGGGGGCCGACTCGGTCCGTCGGACGACCGTTCTTCCGTTCGAACCCGGGTAGATCGCAGCGAGAAGACACCAGGAAAGCCTTCGTTTCACTTTGCTACGCTACTGCGGACAAGAGCCCGAGGTCGGGATCGCCTAGTTGGGTGGATGGAGGCAGATGGTCGACGTGGGCGGTCGCGAGTGAAGGAAAAGGAAGAAAGAACATGAAGAAGCAGGTAGCAGGTCATGGGACGACTTGACCTTTCATTTCAGTATTATTCGGGGAATTGTCCTTTCAGAGCTCATGTGAGTTGTGAGAAGCACCAGTCCTGTTCAAGGCATTCCTGGCATTCCTTGCCCTGTTCAGCCACTTAACCAAAATAAGCAGCAACAGAGTCAGCAAAACCGGCGAGATCATCCAAATGTGGAACGATTGAGTCCGCCCTGTTCTTTGGCTTATTTTATGGGAACGATCCCATGGTTTTCGTGGTTTCGGCGTAGTTTGACATCCGGTAAATGAAATGCACGTCCAGTTTCGATGTTCTGTAACATTGGTGAGGTGCGAGAGAAATCAGATCATTTTCCTGCCAAAGAATCCTGGCCAGGGCGCCCACAGTCCCCACATAGGATTCGGGCATATGCTACTTGCAGTTCTTTGTTCTTTTTAAGCACGAGGAACTTAGGATCCTGCAGGAGCCCCGATAGCTTTGGTGACACGACACCTACTATGCTAGTCCAGCAATGGCCTCCAACCTACTAGCCTAAGGCACACACCACAAGGCCAGGCAGGAACGTGTCTATGCCAAGCGCTTGCATTGGGTTGGCTTCTCTGTCCTGGTAGCCATTTGTTGCACAGTGCAGAGACTCGCATCCACTTCTGCCGACTCGCCTTCTTCCACCATTTCGATGGCAGAGACTCGCAAGGACGGGCCGAAATTGGCAGTGAATGCACACATAAAGAATATCACATGAGATAACAACCAATTTCCAGGGGAAGGGTCATCATACAGTAGTTCATACAGTTTCTGTTGTGTCTAAAAGATGCAAACACACTCGTGTGTTGGACACCCAAACGTGTGTGATTTCTATATGTCCAACCACTCTGAACTTCAGGCTTTGAGAAGGCAAGTGTTCCCACCTCAGGCTCCGGCTTTGGCAATGATTGCTTCCATCTTCTCAGCACATCTTCTCAGTGAATGATCATCTTCTCGTCGACGTGGATGTCTTTGTGTTCGCACCACTTCCTAACTTCCTAGCACCCAACTCCGGAGCTGCTGGTGCTTCTTTTCTTTTTGCCTTGTCCCTATACCGCCCGTTCGGCCCAACGCGCCCAACCCAAACCGAGATCGCAGAGGGGCGGGTTCGGTTCACCGCAGAGGAGATCGATGAGACGGAGGCCTTTGGCGGCTTGGACTCCTGTTCGGGAGTGCGCTGCAACGGCGATGGGCTGATTGGACTGAAGACCTATGATTGGAAGCACCTGGGAGAGAAGATGCAGGTCGAAAGAGCGCGGTTTTGCGATGTTTTGTGGTGTTGTTTGTTGTAATTAGGGGTGGTGGTGGGGGGTGTGGACGCCAATTGGTTTGGAGGATCTATACTGGTCTACCTTTGAGCTTCTGCTGAAAAGTTCTCATGTTTAACCCCAAACTTCTGGGAAAAAGCCAATTGCAATCCAACTCCCCCAGCATCCAGCAATTGCGGCCCATCCACCGCCCAGCCGTTCTGAACGTTCTCCTCTCCGACCGGAGAGTACGTATAGTCCACCATAAAGCCGATAGTTGGTATCAGCCACCCGCAGCCGACCCGCGCGGATCCACCAGAGAAGACCGTGCGGGTGAGAAGATGGGTAACACCGACCCGTGCGGATCAGGTATTTGTGCACTCCATCCCTGCCCTGCTTCGGACCGGTGAAGGCTCCACCACTTCTGAAACCTGGAGCCTCCTGGGTCGCACAATGAGATCGAAGTGTCTCGACACTTCGAACGTGTTCGATCGTGCCGAGATCAAGGACGAGCTTTCAGGGCGATGACGGATCGCTGACCCGAAGAGTTTCAGTGGTGCTGAATTGTTTTTTTTTTTTAATGGGTTCCGGAAAGATGTTTAATATAGGCCGGTTTCATTTAGGCAGGGTTTTGAAGCACGACTTGTTGGCGAACAACCTTATAGCTCTCCCTGAAATCATTCGACGGACACCACCGGACGACGACGAAATGGTCTTCGGAATGGTCAGTCGTCCGAGTCGACTCTTTGCCTTATAAATACCTACCAGCACCCTCCAACAGGTCACCACCTGCGACAACCCGCGACTTGGAAGTCAACAAAAGCCTCCATTTCGGAGACCTGTAGAGTCGGGTGCCGGTATATGAGTCTTCCAGCAGGCTTTTTCCTCGTAGCTGTTGGGTCTAGACCTGCCACAGTCGGCATGGATCCGCGGTGGAACCACGCGTGAAAGCTCGACCACGTGAAGCCACGAAAACCCGTCGTGAAAGCTCTTTGAGGCGAAACTTCCACTGCTGGTGGCCATCATCATGGGTCTTCAACACTCCTTGGCCATGCTGGGTGGAATCATTACGCCCCCCTCCCTCATCGCAGGCATCGCACATGTGCGATTTGGGAGAAGACCGACTTGGGAGAAAATGCGGGAAAAAGCACTGAGTGGTGCGGTTGAGGGGTTACTTTAAAGCAGGTGTCAGTTATATATCGAGTTATTGAATGCAAACAGGAAGTTGCAGCTTTGCGTTTATGCTTTGGAATCATGTCCATACTTGCTTTGTGTAGCTTTTGACTACGTGAAGCCGTATATAGACTAGTTCGACAGGAGGCGTTTTGACCGACTTGGCCGTTAGGGAGTCAGTCTAGGGTGTAGTCTACATCCAAACCTGATAGGTTCATATACATCCAAACTTGGAACAGCGGGATGCGCTGTCGGATGTTTGGAATAGTCGGTTCCTGCAAAGGGACCCTCCAGGTCTGGTGAAAGATGAAGAGCTGATGCTCCCGGTTTTCTGACGGTTGCATTTGCTGATGTTCCCCATCCTTTAGATCCATATGGGCCCATTTAGATCCATATACCTTTTGGGGTTGGACGTTGGATTTTGGAGAGAAAAATCACTTGACCATCTGGTCAGGTACATGAGTAGATCCTATGTCCATCATGATGTTTGTAGCGAAAGAAGAGAACCAGCAGTCACACAGAGCTCGGGGCGGTGTGTAGTCCCATCCAGTCAGTGGATGTGTTTTGGGGCACCCCGACGACCTCCATGGATAGCATTCCGACGATGGAACTGGAAGAAGCATCCACATGTTGAGCTTCATGACAGGAGATGCTTGCTTCAACGGCGATGCTGATCTTTGCAACTCCAGGTGACTTGGATGGTTTTCTTTCTTTCCGGAACACCGAATCTGATGCTCAAGGGGATAAATATGAAACAATACAGCAAACCCAAGTAGTTTCTGGATGTTTCCCTTTAACCATCTCTAAAGCCGTATCACCATCACGATGTGCAGTGCGATGTTCAAGCAAACCTGATGAGGTCAGCACTGATCCTGTGCTTTTGCACAATTCCTTAGCAGTTTGCCCCTCCCCTTGCGCTCAGCATTTGCAGCTTACCCTTTAACTCACAAACATGAAAGTGGACGACCACCTGTTTGTAGAGGCAGCTGCTCTTTGCAAAGGACACTTCCATGTGATGCGTTCATCGGAGTGTAGTTCGGTTTGACTTCTTTGACATGAAACAATCAGGGTCGCTCGCCAACATACTGTGACCATGAGGCAGTACATGATCTCTGCCGCTTTGATCGCCTCGGGCCTCTTGTCCTTGGTGCAGATCTTGCGTTGGAAGCTCATCGGCGGCTACACCCTCGGCACGGGCCTGATCTCAGCGCCCTGGCGGAGCGTGGAACAGCAGCGGTCCTGCAGATGGGATGAAGTAGAAGACGTCACCGTGATGACGAGCAGGTGATGACTCAGTGGTCTAAGTGGTCTAAGTTCGCAAGGTGAATGTTATGCCTGGTTTTTGCATTTTCACATGTATTTTTCCCGGAGTTGGACCTCCTGTTATATAAGTTGGACAAACGAGTCGACTAGAAGCAGCCGGTTCTACCGCCACACACTGCTTGTGCTCGCAGGTCATGGGCGTGTCCTTTACATTCCTGCCTATTGCGCGGGAAGTCGTGGTCTCCGAGATTGCCGCGGGAAACTCTGGAAAAGATGCGTATGGGAAGTTCTTGGGCCCCTTGGTTTGCCTGGTTTGGCTGAATCAGGTCATCTTTGATGTTCCTTATGGGTAAATTCCCTTCTGGGGAATACTCTATTATACTCTATTTTACGTTTTCCAGGTTCCTTAAAAGCAAATCCAAGTTTGTTTTTGAACATGGTTATACTTGGTTCGTTTCATGGCGGAGATATGTTGGGATGCACGCGTTCGTTTTCGTTCGTTCGTCTGTTCAGTGTCTCTTTCGGCAAACCTCCGCTTCTGTCGGCCATCCGTGGCCTAGGAACCTGCTTGGTGGCCTCCCTGACGGAAATCTTCATCTCCTTCGTGCCTCCGAGGATCTTGAAGAGCCCTGGCTGAGCGGCATCCCTGAGGAAGAGGCAAACAAAACAATGCCGAATGACGGACTAGGATCCCTGTAGGATGCCTGTAGGATGTCGGCCTTGCGTGATTCTGGTGATGTCCGACCTACTCAGTCCCACTTAGAGGTCATGACCTCCAAGATCTTTCTTGGGGGATTGGAGTGGGGATCGGTTACGAAAGCCAGCCTTCGTAGAAGGCGCTAGCGGAGTTGTGTCTGGCGAACGAAGTGAGTAGTTAGGGGGTCTGGGGGGGTGGCCCGAGAAAGGGACACGTCAACTCAGCACATGCTGGGGGAGGAGGGTGCTCCGAGGGAAGGTTTTTTGAGGTTGTGTTGGAGGTGATTTTTGAGGGGTGGTGATGCAAGAAATGCCAAATGCATCATTTGCATCATCTGAATGGAAAGGTGTAGTTGGCACCTTGCAAGGTAGAGAGACCTAGGGTAGCTATAGTGCAGCTACCAGGTATAGTACTTCAAGTTCCCTTTCCGTCAGGTGTGTAAGAGGTATAGCAACATACTACCTGAGAAGCTGCAAAACGAAAGCCAGCGCTTCCCTTTCTCGAGAACTGCGCGTCGAAGCATAGGATAGAAAGGTAGGTCTGCACCCTAGATCCACCATCCCACTCCATTTTCTTTCATTTCTCTACGGCAGCTCCGCTTGGCATTTGCCAGGTGGAGGCGGCCGTGAGACCT